ATCATCTGCTCCAGGTACGTACAGTGTAGGTCACTTGGCCAGAGGGCACCTCACAACAGCTGGGAAGGAATGGATGGGGGAGGGGGAGGATGCTGTCTGCTGAGAGGTAGCTGTGTGGATCTGGGATGAGGTCCCTCGAGAGGGAGGCAGCCCTGACAGAGCAGATGGGAGGTCAGCACAGGTCAGGGGAGAGAGGATGGTCAAGTTTAGGAGAACATAGGTGCACATCTGTTGAGGGAAGGGGAGGGAGGGGTGGCCTCCAGGTGGGAGGAGGAGAAACTGGGGAACATTAGGTGGGGAGGGTCTTGAGTGGCAGCATGCAATGGGTGGGCACAAGTGAACTAGGGTTTCTGGGGGAATCCCAGGAACCCAGGCCAGGTGCCATGGAATGCTAGCATGCTAAAATCCTGAGCCCCACAGTCCCCTGGGTTTATGGGAAAATGACAAGTTCATGGACCCAGCTATCAGAGAACTCAGTGTGGCAAACAAACAAATGAGCTACACAACAAACAACCCCCCAACCTCACTGTCCTCAAGTTGACGCCAATCCATAATGATGAGGCACCGGGCAGCGTGGTAGTGCCCCATAGACTTTCCAACCCTGTAGTCTTTAGGGAAGCGGACTGCCACAGCTTCCTCTCCCATTGCGGCTGGCAGGCTCCAATCGCTGATCTTTGGGTGAGCCACCAAGCACGTAGCCACGATGCCACCAGACTCCCTTCCGTTTGGTCAATAGCCAGTTGTCCTGCTCTTGGGCTGGTGCCAAACCCCAGGGAAGGAGAGGGCGCAGCCTGCGGACACAGCTAGGAAACGCTGGAGCTGATTCGTAGTGGCTTGAATGCAGTGGTGGGGCTCCAGTAATCTGACAACCATGTCTCTGTCTTAATGAGCGGTTTAGGTATCAAAAAAACGATATACCAAAAGGTAGTTTATTAATGCAAACAGTTAATACTTAAATAAGAACAATAAATGAGGTACTCAAGGCAAGAATATGTTTTGAAAGTTTTAAAATATCAGTAAACAACGTTAAATAGTACCTGTCAGAAAACAATAAAACTGTTATTTAAGATATTTCCACATTGCTTCTCCCCCCCCCCCCCCCCAGCCCCCACAAGTCCCTGAGAGCTGTACTGCCTCAGATAGGCCAAGACGCTCACAGCAAGCCGGGAGGTTTCTCTGACAGACAGAGAATCCACATTGCTTCTTGACTGGTGTCCTCACCTGCAATATTCTTCGCTTTTACTACAAGCATAGTTCCGTCTGATTTTTATACGCATGGAGGGGATGAACCTTACTACAGGCGCTTAGAATACACTGTTGCCCAGAGCAATGTTAAAAGGGGATGTAAATGTGTGATTACCGTATGCAGCCACCCACGTTGGTGAGAACCAGGATGACAAGTGCCTCTAAACAACTGGTTTGTCAACTCAACAACAAATTAGGTATTGGTTCTGCCAAACCGGTATGAACCAGCTGGATCCCACCACTAGTTGCATGGGTGTCCCCAGATGACCATGGGAAGGGTTGCTGATGTGTGGACACTCAGCCTCTTTGGTGTGGGGAAGCCTGCAGGGGCTGGGAGAGGTGTGCTGAGGAGATCAAGCAGAGAGAGTGGAGAAGCGGTGGGAGATGGGCAGGTTGGCTAGGCTCAGTTCACCAAGCTTCTTCTCTTCTAGAACCGCAGTTTGGCCTCACTGTTGAATGGAATGGCAGGGGAGAGAGATGCCGACAAGTCTCAGGGAAATGATGATCCACTTTGCATTTTAAGAATGTTCTTTCAAAAAGTCCATTATAAAAATGAGAACAAGTTTTTATTTTATGATGAAGGACAAAATAACAAGTGTAATTTAACCAAAATCAAGTGAAAGGCCAGATTGTTCAAGCTTTAAATTCTGTTAAGAGTGGGATAGTTCAGGATTTCTTTTAGAATTATTAATTGGGGTTTAATACATATATCATTTCATTCCATATTTCAGTCACATCAAGTAGAATGTACAATTGCTACCACAATCAGTTTCCAAATATTCTTTTCTACGTGGACTCTGACATCATCTCCCCTTTACTCCCCACCTTACCGTACCCCTATTCTACTTGCTGTCCCTATAGGCATGTCAATCCTGGGTTTCATCTACCAAAAACCAGAAAAGCCTATAACACAACTTCAAGAGGGGGACCCCCAGTGACATTTATACCTCTGAGATGCGCTCTACTGTGAACAAACAAAAACTCAAAGAAAACATACAAACCAAAAATAAAGAACCATTTGGAAACCAGGGGACTGTGGGGCTCAGGATTTTAGTGCCTGCCTCCTAGAACTGCCGGGGGTGGAACATTGGCTGCATAGAAACAAGTGTGTGACTATACACATGTCACACTCTTGTTTTTTTCTCATCACCTGAGGTCTGGAGATTGATAGCTTCTCTATATTTTAGGGAGGTGGTAAGGATTAAATTAATAAATATTAAACGAATCAAAGACTTAAACCAATATTTGGTACACATGAGGCAGTAGGTGGTAAAACCTTTTTGCCATTGAGTTGATCCTGGCTCATGGTGACTCCAGTGTCACAGAGTAAACTAACTTCTCCATAGGATTCTCTTGCCTATGACCGTTAGGGGAGCAGATTGCCAGACCTTTCTCCCACACGCCCAATGGGTGGATTCAAGCTGTCAGCCTTTAGGTTAATCGGGCAAACCGTTTGATCATCCAGGTGTAAGTATTACAGTTTCTTGGCAGATGCTGGCCTCGGGATAGGCTTGTTGAACGGATGAACGAAGAGGTATTTTGTAAGTCAGCAAATCTTGCATTACTACAGGTGTCAAGGAAAATAATGCCAACACCCAAACATGTTAACATCAAACTTCAATTGAACAACTAAATTCTGAAAATAAAAATTGTATCGAAGCACACGTTACAAAGTGTTATCCTAGATACATTTCTCTAAAGCTTTCTCAATTTGGCCAAGATTGGGTCCAAATCAAAAGCTACTATGACCCTTTTTAACTTTATTACAAGGTCTTTTATTATCAATTTTCCAACAAAAAAATATAATACTAAACACCTTATTTTGAGGTAATTTACCTTGTTCACTTTCCTCATTATTGAAACTTACTAGCTTTCTGGTACCATCATTGTCTACTAATAACCTAGACCGTTTACGAGACACGTATTTTACAGGCAGCAATTCCACTTGGAAAGTAAACTGCCTTGCTCTGTCTGCTTACTTCCGTTTGCAAGCAAGCCCATTTCTTCTACATGGAAGGTGACCACGCAAGCATTTTCTTTACCTACTGGCTAATGCTCAGCAATAATGAACAAGCTGCAGGTTGTGATTACACTGCTCCTTTTATCCCCACTCTATAATGTGTTAAAATGTTGCCATATCTTGCCCTTGTTGGGAACTCTTCATCCTCCAACAGAAAAGTTCAGATCATTGTCTGGTATTGGTGGCTTGCCACAGCCTAGCTCACATGGCAGACAAAGTGGAATTTTCAGAAGGCCAAGATAGTAATACAGGGAGCCCTGGTGCCTTAATGGGTTACACCTTGGCCTGCTAACTACAAGGTCAGCAGTTTAAGACTACCCGCCACTCCATGGGAGAAAGACGAGGCTTCCTACATCCATACAGAGTTACAGGCTCAGAAACCCACAAGGACAGTTCTATAAGATTGCTATGAGTTAAGATGACTTGAAGACCAAGATTGGTCTAGAAGATGCAAAAAAAAAAAAAAAGAGAGAAACTGGATTTCATGAAGAATGTGGCATTAGGATGGGAGGAAGGTGCTTTTTAAAAACAACCTATGATATGCAGATGACATAACCTTACTTGCTGGAAGGGAAGAGGACTTGAAGGACTTGGCTGATGAAGATGAAGGATTTCAGCCTTTTATATAGATTACAACTAAACGTAAAGAAAACTATAATCCTCATAACTGGACCAATAGGGAACATCATGACAAATGGAGAAAAGGTTGAAGTTGTCAAGGATTTCGTCTTACTTAGATCCACAATCAATGCTCATGGAAGCAGCAGTCAAGAGATTAAACAATGCATTGCTGGGTAAATCTGCTGCACAAGACCTCTTTAGACTGCTGAAATACAAGGACCTTACTCTGAGGGCAAAGATGCGCCTGACCCAAGCTCGGGTATTTTCAATTGCCCCACATGCATGTGAAAACTGGACATTGAATTCGGATGATCAAAGAAAAATCCACGCATTTGAGCGATGGTGCTGGCAAAGAATATTGAAAGGACCATGGCCTGGCAAAAACACCAATAAATCTATCTTGGAAGATGTACAGCCAGATGACTCCTTAGAGGCAAGGACAGCAAGACTTTGTCTCACGTACTTTGGACATGTTATTAGGGGAGACCAGTCCCTGGGGAAGGACATCATGCTTGGGAAAGTGGAGAGGCAGTGAAAAAGAGGAGAGGCCTCAGTGAGATGGACCCACGATGGGCTCAAGCGTAAGGAGAATTGTGAGGACTGTGCAGGCCTGGGCAGTGTCGCATTCTGCTGTCCATTGGGTGGCTGTAAGGCAGTACTGACTGGACAGCACCTCCCAAAGATCTCATTTGGCATTTAAAAACAGAATGGTCAAACCTCCATAGTGAGATATATGAAAAGGGACAGCGATGCTCAGCCCTCGGGTCTCTGAGACTGAAGGATCATGGCATTAATGATACCGGTTATGGAGGCCAGTTCTAACTGTGGCCATACCATGTTTCAGCAGTAAGTCACCAGGCGTTTCTTCCAAAGCGTCTTTGGGTATGTTGGAAGCATCAGCCTTCACGTTAGTAGTTGAGCGCAAACTATTTACACCATCCAGGGGCCTTTGTTGATATTTGGGGCCTCCAAATGTCTCAATCTCTCCCAGGTAGGACATCGTCCCAGAGGCTCCAAAGTCACACCACACAGACAATGCTTAGCTGGTCCTGCCTACCAAGATGTGCATTTAACTCACACCTCCAGGTCCCCAGACTGGAGCAGTTCTACTTACCTATAGGCATCAATCTGGGCCTTGCCTGGAATCTGAAGCTCTTTAGCCATCTCCTCCTTACTGACCTTCAGGAAATCGATCAGCAGATTTAGATTCTGACTGTGGAAAAGCAGCTCCTTCAAGAAGGACAGATTGTCCTTTGCCAACATTCCCTTTTCTTTGAGCGTCGAGAACAATTCCAAAGGTCCCTGAATGGATTCCAGCTTTCTCTGGGGAATGTGATCCAGGCTCAAGAATTTGAGGGAGGCCAGTTTGGGATTGTCCAGTTGTTGTGCAATCTTATACAGAAGATTTTCCAAATCCATCCTTGTCAAGAGAGTACAGTTGCAACCTAGGTCAAAACACAATGTTTTATTCAGATGGGAAGGAGGAACATACCATGTATGTAGTCTTCCTCACCAAAACATATGGCATAGACTATCTGCTAGACATTTTGCTGTGGAAACAGGGGCAGGGCCTATACACACACGAAGAGGGAAACAAGACCATTTCTCCTCTCAAGTACCCCCTATTTATTATTGGGAGCCATCAAGTCAATTCCAACCTAGAGTGATCCTATCGCGATACTATAGGACAAGAGTAGGATTGTCTGCATAAATTTCCTAAGCTGTAATTATATTTTCAGGGTCCCTTTTTTTTTCTCCATTTGGTTTAACTGCATAAAGTGAAAGATAAATATTCACAAACACAGTCTGTTTAATAAAAGTACCCAGGTATATGATATCGAAATTAAACCTGTGTAGACTTGGCTCCTTGCACTTAAATTGGATGGACCATCTACATGACTAAATACTAAATATCTTATGGAGATTAAAGACCATTCTGGAAAAGACAAATAAAGACACTAGTATACTTACAATATGAACGGAGAGTCCTTGTGTGTGGTGTTCAACTATTGGGAACAATATACATGCCTAAAACCTTTGCCAGAAAAGGCAGTAAATATCATTACGTGTTCATTTTTACGTAGTCATTTTTCTTTTCAGCTTTTATCTTTTATGGGTCTTCCAAACTGAATTCAGCAAGCATTATTTGCAGAAAACAGAACAATTATGAAGTGAATTCATTTGATTTTTTTAAACTGATTTCATTCTGTAAAATGGCATTTCCACCGGTAGCACTAGGTCCTTGGGTCTAGTGGGAAGGAACCACCAAAGGCATAATATTCTGATAAAATATTCCCACGACCTTCACTTAGAGCATTTTATTTTTAATTTAAAAGGGCCACACGGTCACTTGGTCAACCTTAGAAAAGGAAGCACAAAACACAGAGGGAACTTGCAATACCTGAAGGAGCCACTAGGGGCACTGTAGGATGAGCATTGAGTGCTAACCACAGGTCACCAGTTCAAATCCATCTTTATGAGTCATAATCAACTCAGTGGCAGAATGGATTTTGGGCATTAACTACCTACTTTGTCACACACTTCGGTTAGACTGACTGTGGCTGTTCTTTTTTTTTTTTTAAACATTTTATTAGGGGCTCATACAACTCTTATCACAATCCATACACACATCAATTGTGTAAAGCGCTTAGGATTTTATTTTGATGGTTGAAATGTTTTT